AAACACGACCCCATCCTTAAACAAACCCCATCCATACCAACCCGACCTCACCCCCAAAAAACCCATTCATACAGACCCGAAAACCAAACAAAAAAACCCCAAATCCATAACAACGCGACCCCATCCTAAAACAACCCAATCCAAACCAACGCGACCCCATCCCAAAACAAGCCCTAGTCACTCCCAACACAACACCACCCAAAACAAGCCCATATGCATCTTTACAAACCCGACCCCAGCCCGAAACAACCCCATCCAGACCAACGCGACTCCACCCAAAACAACCATCACGCCTACCAACCTGTCCCCATCCCAAACAAACCCAATCCATACCAACCCGACCCCATTCCAAACAACCCCATCCATACCCACCCGACCCCACCCAAAACAACCGTCACGCCTACCAACCCTTCCCCGCCCAAAACAACTCAATCCATGCCAACACGCCCCCACCCAAAACAACCCCAATCCATACAAAAGCGACCCCATCCCAAAACAACCCCAATCCATGAGAACGCTACCCCATCCCAAAACAACCCCATCCACACAAATCCAACCCATCCAAAACATTCCAATCCATAACAACCCGACCCCATCTCAAAACAACACCATCCATACCAACCCGACCCCATACCAAAGAAACCCAATCCATACCAACGCGACCCCATCCCAAAACCACCCCATCCATACCAACCCCAATCCCTCCCAACCCAACACCCACCGAAACGAACCCCATCCTTACAAACCCGACCCCATTCCAAACAACCCCATCCATACCAACCCGAGCCCACCTAAAACAACCGTCACGCCTACCAACCCATCCCCAACCAAAACAATCTCATCCCTACCAACCCGACCCCACCCAAAAACAACCCCAATCCATGCCAACCCGACCCCACCCAAAACAATCCCAATCCACACCAACCCTACCCCACCCAAAACAACCCTATCCCTACCAACCCGACCCCAGCCAAAACAACCCCATCCATACCAACCCGACCCCATTCCAAAAGAATCCCATCCATATCAACCCCATCCCACCCATAAAAACCCCAATCCATACCAATGCGACCCCATCCCAAACAACCCCAATCCCTCCCAACCCAGCCCCAAACAAAACAACCCCATCCCTACCAACCCGACCCCATCCCAAACAACCCAATCCAGACCATCGCGACGCCACTCAAAACAATCCTAACTCCTACCAACGCAACCACATTCCAAAACAACCCCAGCCATACCAACCAGACCCCATCCCAGACAACCACATCAATACCAACCCTATCCCATCCCAAAACAACCCCATCCATTCCAGCCCGACCCCACCTAAAACAACACCATCCATACCGACCCGAACCCATCCCAAAACATCCCCATCCATACCAACGCAACCCCAAACGAAACAGCCCCAATCCCTCCTAACCCAACCCCACCCCAAACAACCCCATCTCTACCAACCCGACCCCATCCCAAACAAGCCCATCCAGACCAACGCGACCCCACTCAAAACACCCCTCACGCCTACCAACGTGTCCCCACCTAAAACAACCCTATCACTACAAACCCAATCCCACCCAAAACATCCACATCCAAACCCACCCGACCCAATCCAGAAACAACCGTCACGCCTACCAACTTCTCCCCACCCAAAACAACCCTATCCCTACCAACCCGACCCCAGCCAAAACAACCCCATCCATACCAACCTGACCCCATCCCAAAACAACCGTCCCCTCCATAGCCCACCCAACCCCCACCCCCATAACCCAAAACAACAATCCATAATCCCGACCCCATCCCAAAACAACCTCATCCATACCAACCTCGACCTCATACAAAACAGCCTCATCGATACCAACCAGACCCCATATTCAACAACCCCATTCATACCAACCCGACCCATCCCAAATAACCCCATCCATACCAACCCGTCCCATGCCAATCAAACCAATCCATACCAACCCGACCCCATCCCAAAACAACCCCATCCATACCAATCCGACCCCACCCAAAACTACCCAATCCGTACCAGCGTAACCCCATCCCAAACAACCCCAAATCCCTCCCAACCCAACCCCATCTCCACCAACCCGACCCCATCCCAAACAACCCCATCCAGACCAACGCGACCCCACTCAAAATAACCCTCATGCCTACCAACCTGTCCCCACCCACAACAACCCCATCCATACCAACCCGACCCCAACCAAAACAACCCCCATCCCTACCAACCCGACCCCATTCCAAAACAACCCAATCCATACTAACCCGACCCCATCCCAAACAACCCCATCCATACCAACCCGACCCCATTCCAAAAGAATCCCATCCATAACATCCCGACTCCACCCATAACAACCCCAATCCATACCAACGCAACCCCATCCCAAAACAACCCTATCCATACCAACCCGACCCAATCACAAACAACCCCAATCCATACCAACCAGCCCGACTCCATCTCCAACAACCCCATCCATACCAAACCAGCCCCACCCAAAACATCCCATCCACCAACCCAACCTCACCCAAAATAACAACCAACCCAACCTCATCCAAAACAACCATACCAAACCGACCCCATCCGAAGACAGCCCCATCCATACAAACCCGACCCCACCCAAAATAACCCCATCTATACCAACCTGACCCCATCCAAAACAAACCCATCCATACCAAACCAACCCCACCCAAAAACAACCCATCCATTCCAACCAGACCCCACCCAAAACAACCCTCACGCCTACCACCACACCTAACACAACCCCATCCATACCAACCCGACCCCATCCCAAACAACCCCATCCAGACCAACGCGACCCCACTCAAAACAACCCTCACTCCAACCAACCCCTCCCCACCCAAAACAACCCCATCCCTTCCAATATGGATCTGTTATAACCCGTGGAAGATCAAAAAAACAAACTCATCATGCGATGGCGTAAGTGGCGACTAACGGGATCAGGTTGTCAGGCTCTATACCTTGGTTGCCACATGTGAACGTATCCCATTTGCGTAGATCGATGCTCTTGATGTTAATCACTGGATAGTCTGATCCAGGCTCGATTATATAGGTGAAAATAATATATATAAAATTATTTAGCTGAAAAATAGCCGAGAGCGGCGTTAAACAACAAACATGATGGGGCGATGGCGTGGGTCTTTAACAGCACAAGGGAGACAACCCACGCAAGTAGCGATGACGAGAATCTATATCACCACAAAGGGGACTTCGGGATTTTCTCTTATACGTCCGTTTGACTTCATTTGAGACCGAAGAATTGCTCACTAACACAAAATCTAATAAATGCAACAAAATCAAACTTTGCACTGTTACAGGAAATCGACAGACCAACTCTGATGATTTGTCTCATAATGTTGGACAAACGATCATTATTTTGTTGTCATGTTTCGCTATGTCTTACGAGGGAGGGCCATTTGCTGGTAGAAGAGCCAGGTGTGCACGTTGTACGTGTGAAATTGAAATTTCACTGCACACGCTTGTTGATTACCTGATTACATTTTGTGTTAGTGAGGAATTCATCGGTCTCAAATAATGTCAAACGCACTATACAAAGAAGGAGAGGGCACTCAATACATTTAGCGATGTCACAACACAAGGGAGACAATCCTTGCATGCATGTAGCGACCGTGAGGAGGGTCCCTTACAACCTAAGCACAAGCACGCACGCACTCATACACGCACACGCACACGCACACGCGCTCGTTAAGTGTGTGAGTGGCTTTTGTTTTACGCCGCTTTGAGCAATATTCCAGCAATATTCCAGCAATATCACGGCGTCGGGACACCAGAAATGGGCATCACACATTGTACCCATGTTGGGAATCGAACCCGGGCCATCGGCGTGGCGAGTGAACGCTTTAACCACAAGGCTACCCCACCGCCCCCATTGATATTATGAAATAAACCTGATATACTTATATATGATAATGACCTACCACTCGCTGACGTCGTTGATAGTTAAGCACCTAATTTTGGCCATAAAAGAATGGGGACGTTTTCGCTGAAATTCTTGATTAACGCATTGGTTAAAACTTGAGCACATTCTGTTCCCTATCTATAAATCCCTAGTGGGACAGCTCACTGACTTGGTTGACACATGTCATCGTATTCCAATTGATGACATTTGCCGCGAGCAATCACTTGGTGCTTGGAGACTGTGCGCTATAGAAGATGACTTATTATTATTAATAATAATTGCGTAGATCGATGCTCATGCTGTTAGTAACTGGATTCTCAGGTCCAGGCTCCATTATTTACAGACCGCCGCCATTTAGCTTAAAATGACCTCTGCACGGTAGTCACGCATGGAAGGTGATCACAACAGGCTTTAAATCAAAGCTAAATCATTCCCGACTGTGAAAAATCACATTCCATTCGGCCACCAGAGCTGCACCACATTTTCACCATTTGGGGGTCTTGCTTTCTTACCATAGTTACTAACTGTCGAATGAATGATAGTTTAATGGACATAATCAGAATATCTTTCAATTTCAACTGCATAATCAAAACCTCGGTATACTTTCTTTCAAGAAGAAGGGATTTAGCTTTTGTCTTTTTGAACATTTACTGCTTCAATTTTTCCTGTATATCAACATATATTCTGTGTTTGCTCTGCCACTAATCTGAGTATAATCAATAATCAGTCTTTTTTGTAAGGTTGAGTCCCATCTGGGATTCGAACCCACACTCTCAGAGTCAGGCACATAATCGCCAGGACGCTAAGTCAGCCATCTAACCCACTCAGCCATCGCTTATGTATGTATGCAAGTTATATACATGTTATATACGTATACTTGCTTCTCAGAGTGAACAACACCATAGTGTTTATTTGGACAAAAACATTGTCAAGAAATATACATCATTTTACTGTCTCTCATAGTCCGTTTGTGTGGGGATTGGTTTATTGTGTCATGATCCGCTGATTTATATCGATCATAATAAAAGTAATAAATATATTCAGTGAAACCATGTTTATTTAACAGTATACCAGTCAAAACGATCTACATCATATTGATAATGATCCCGCAGATCACGCTTGTCCTTAATAAATGGAATACATCTGTATATTGCAGACATGCTCATGCTAAAGATGTTTGCTACAAATAAAATGCATGATTAAATCAGAAATGATTGTGTGGACGAGATTGACATGTCCCGTTTTCGGTATAACCCTTTATCCAAGCAACATCGCTGTAGATCGACACCCAACACACAGACAGACATGCCTCCTTGTGTCCATAATTCCCATTATACTAGCAGTATCACCTGCAGATTGACACCCCCTTAAGTTGATAATTCCCCTTATGCTAGCAGCATCACAGACACCTCCCAGTTCCGAACATAACGCTCCTCATAACAACAGCAGCGACTGTAGATCGACATCCCCCTCCGTGTACTTCTTCTTATGCTCCATAATGTGCTCTTAATCACGGTACAATACAAACATCCCTTCTGTTTTATATCTCGCGGGTGGCTTTCTCATCCCGTTGTAGTATTGTCCACTGGGGAACCCTATCAGTTTGGTGTTGGATGCAAGTGCTAGAAGCCCGGTAGCATAAACGTCATCGATCCATATTGACTTGATGTCAGTTGAAGCCGCGTATAGTCTCTTGATAACTGACAATGTTGTTATGTATGCAAATCCAGCACAATATCGGGGGTACCTGATGAAGGGGTATTCCTGTTCAGAAATGGCCCACTTTCCGGCTGTTTTCTTCTTGCTCCACTTCTCAACGAGGCACATAATATGTTCCTCGGGGAAAGCATTCAACAACAGGTACCTCAACACGTTGTTAACGTGAACAACGACATCATCGTCAATCTTGATAACATAGCGCACATTTTTACAATGAGTGATAACCCAGTGGTAACCCATGATGTGCTTGTGGGTCAGGTTGTGATAAGAATCTATGAAATTCCCCTGTACAATGTCTTGATACTTCTGCGATTCCCGTTCAACTTCTGCCTGTAATGATGCGTTGTTAGTTTCTCCCACTAAAAAAACAACAGTCAATAATGGTTCACTGCCACTTGTGTCTTTCCTAATGTTTTGTCGTTTCTGTGCATTATACATGGCCGTATGTACTATCACCACTACGGGGCCCATTCCCTTACAGTTGTCGGTGTCCATTGAGAATTTGTACTTATGTAAATTATCCCAAACATCTTTATTGTGTGTAATGTTGAGATATTGCAGTATGGGGGAAGACACCGCGTTGGCTCTTTTAGATGCTCTCGCAATATCAGCCTTGTGCTGATGGATGGTCGTTGGAGTGCTTGACGGAATGGTTATTTGACTCGATGAGTATCCAGTCTTTGTTTTGCTTCCAGTGATCGCCATTGCCGCATCGTCTTTGGCAACAGAAACATATTCTCTGCACAGCAAACTGACCCCAGCAACACACAGCAGTACCAACATGCACCGCCATGATATACTTCTGTACCTCCTCAACCGGAACATGCTAGCCATCCTAGAACAGATTAATCAATATGCAATAACACTTTCGTAACATCCGACAACTCGGTGGGGTGGGGTGGGGTGTGGTGGGTGTGTGAGTGAGTGAGTGAGATGATTTTACGTCGCTTTTACAAATATTCTAGCAATATCACGGCGGGGGACACCAGATATATGGGCTTCCCACATCATGCCCATGTTTGAGATCGAACCCGGGTCTTCGGCGTGACGAGCAAACGCTATTACCACTATGCTACCACACCAAATAACGCAATAAGTCATATAGGAGCCGATGGTGAAAACTTTGATTAGGCAGAATTGGCAATGCATGAAACAGTTTTGACTTTCTGAAATAACAGACGGCGTACATATTTAATTCTGGTCGGTCACAGCGATAGGAAATATAAGCGTTAACCATTTCTCTTTATCACCATCCCTAAACACAAAGCATTGGATGCCGGTTTGTTTTGTTTGAAAATGAAAATCGTACACATGCAAATTTCACGTAAATCGCGCTCTTTCGAGAGCGATTACTGTACAAACAACTATGGTCAAAAGGAAGTTCAAGTAAAATTGTTTCAATCGTAAATATAAACAATACATAATCTTTTCCGATTCTCTTTCGTGTCTTCAGGCTATTAAAAATCTTTCTTGTAAACATCCACTTTTAATAGAAATTATTGAATAATATGATGATGTTGCTACTGGTTAATGCGACATCGTCCTTTGTTGGTTACATAGCCATTTTGGAATTTCTGTTAGCACAATGGCCGATTCTGCCATTGATAGCTCTCGACAAATCTGTGACACCACTTCCCATTCCATACTCTGATTACAAAGTTATGATTAGAACTTGCATCGGCGATCTAATACAGACTGACTGACTGACTGAGTTTAGTTTTACGCCGGTTTTAGCAATATTCCAGCAATATCACGGCGGGGGACACCAGAAATTGGCTTAACACATTGTGCCCATGTGGGGAATCGAACCCGGGTCTTCGGCGTGACGAGCCAACGCTTTAACCACTAGGCTACCCCACCGCCCCTCTAATACAGAAGAAGTGGGACACACAAGTAGGTGTTAGATGCAATAAAACCCTATATCGGTTTCATCTACTTAGGTTGTCAGTCCAGATTTCAAGAAGTCATTTTAAGGCGATGCCGTATTGGCCAATCTCGATACCTGTTAAAAGACCCACCGTTTTACATCCCTTGTGATGTAAGAATGATTGACTATGTTGATTTATAAATTAATAGTTGATAGTTTAAATTAGCATCCAAGGTTGTTAAGAGCAGTAATCCTCAAAGGGGATGAAAGCAATGTAAAATTATTGTACTCCTGAGAGGGTACATATGTCCCAAAATATTCAAAGTAAATTGAAACCTACTACTATCTTTAATCGTAGAATTTCCATTTTTGGCTAGACTGTCTAAAAGTGATAATAGCTGACGGGATGGTGTAAATCCAGCTGGGGTTCATGCAGGAAGCACATGTACTGTAAGTCCCCATGGTCCCTAGTACGGTGATCTAGCTTCAAATGTTGACAATGTATAGCCTGTTTTATATTTTGGTGTCATTTCTATTTTTTACTGTCCTTCGCTGACAGTTTTTTTATAATGTAGCTTTTCACTAATTCACTCACAGCCAGATGTTGGTACATGTGGAAGAGAGTAGTGCTTTTGATACTCTTAATATTTTAGCACACGTTCGGGGCCAGTAAAGGGTGATGTTAACAAACGGGTACCTTATGTACTGAGGAGTTTAGCACACCCAATACTTTCACAGCATAAGACATGGCACAACTTAGTCGCATTTTTCCAAACAAAATCTTAAACTAAATACTCACAGTGTTAAAGGAAAACATATCTGGTGTCCCCCGCCGTGATGTTGCTGGAATATTGCTAACAGCGTCGTAAAACCAAACTCAGTCAGTCAGTCAGTTAAAGGAAAATGTACCCTGACAACGTTCTGCAATCACTCCAGTCCGCTATCAAACAAACCATACGTATCGAACTAGTGCGTGTATTGAAGTGCCGGCCAGGCACGATCTGAAAGGAAAGCTTTTTAGCAGGGTATTTTCACTCAGTTTCAATACACCACTATGCATGTCTAATTGACGGTGTAATACCTTATGCTATATTTAGACTTCGGGCTTACACGAATCTCAAGTACCTGGTATATTCACTTTTTCATAGTGATTCATAAACACGTGCTCTGTTATTTTATCGCATGGTGACAATCACTGGATTGTCAGGTTCAGCCTCGATTTGTTTAGAAACAACATCATACAGCTGCAATACTACTGACACATATATATGCTCATGATGTAGTCATAACTGCACAATCAACTCTTATGAATGTGGAAAAGGTTTTGTCGCATCTGTTCTCACATTGCATCTCAAGAAACAAGACGACTAGCGGTGTATTACCCTCACCCGGGACACCCTCTGGCTTCCAAGTTGGATTACTGTTACAGGGGAGGGAATGTTACCATCACTGTGATATTGCCATGATCACTGGACTCGTATTATACTGACACTCTACGTTGTACTGCCATAGCGATATTTTTGTATTGATTTGTACTGATCTGTGAACGTAGTCAATTTTAGAATACAAAAATTAACAACACCACACAGCTTTGTTGTTGGGAAACACGTAACAAACTATTTGTTGTCTGACTTTATCATTAGCCTGTGTCCACGAATCACTATCAAATATTGCGATATGGCTGAAATATTGCCGATGTGACGTTAAATGTTAACTCACTCACTGAATATACTGACGATAGGAGGAGTTTACGTGAAGGTGATCCCAGCATTATAACCACTACAAAGGTACTCGTTCTCCTGAACATCGCTTTTGTCACTGATGATGCCTGTATAAGGGCAAAGTTTGCGGACATCTTTAAAGGAGGTACTATCCACAACCACACTGTAGCCTAGAGGCTATATGAAGCACATCGACCCTGCACCTCTTGAAAGTGGTAGTGGATGAGATTGCCGTCGATATTACTGTTCACTGGCCATCCGTTTCTTCAGCTGATGAGATACTTTTACGTAAGTTGTCTGATGACCGACGCCGTTATCCCTCCCTGGGAGAATGTAATGCGGGTTGCCTTCTGAAGGACCAGCTGCAGAAACATCCCCTGCCGTGAGCTCCCTGCAGCTGTTTTGCCAGCGGAGCATCATGACACAGTTAACATGGGGATAACAGACATCATGACACAGTTGACATGGGGATAACAGACATCATGACACATTTAACATGGGGATAACAGACATCATGACACAGTTAACATGGGGATAACAGACATCATGACACAGTTAACATAGGGATAACAGACATCATGACACAGTTAACATGGGGATAACAGACATCATGACACAGTTAACATGGGGATAACAGACATCATGACACAGTTAACATGGGGATAACAGACATCATGACACAGTTAACATGGGGATAACAGACATCATGACACAGTTGACATGGGGATAACAGACATCATGGGGACATGACATAGTTGACATGGGCATAACAGACATCATGACACAGTTAACATGGGGATAACAGACATCATGACACAGTTAACATGGGGATAACAGACATCATGACACAGTTGACATGGGGATAACAGACATCATGACACAGTTGACATGGGGATAACAGACATCATGACACAGTTAACATGGGGATAACAGACATCATGACACAGTTAACATGGGGATAACAGACATCATGACACATTTAACATAGGGATAACAGACATCATGACACAGTTAACATGGGGATAACAGACATCATGACACAATTGACATATGGATAACAGACATCATGACACAGTTGACATGGGGATAACAGACATCATGACACAATTGACATAGGGATAACAGACATCATGACACAATTGACATAGGGATAACAGACATCATGACACAGTTGACATGGGGAAAACAGACATCATGACACAGTTGACATGGGGATAACAGACATCATGACATAGTTGACATGGGGATAACAGATATCATGACATAGTTGACATGGGGATAACAGACATCATGACACAGTTAACATGGGGATAACAGACATCATGACACAGTTAACATGGGGATAACAGACATCATGACACAGTTGACAGGGGGATAACAGACATCATGGCACAGTTGACATGGGGATAACAGATATCATGACATAGTTGACATGGGGATAACAGACATCATGACACAGTTAACATGGGGATAACAGACATCATGACACAGTTAACATGGGGATAACAGACATCATGACACAGTTAACATGGGGATAACAGACATCATGACACAGTTAACATGGGGATAACAGACATCATGACACAGTTAACATGGGGATAACAGACATCATGACACACATCATGACACAGTTAACATGGGGATAACAGACATCATGACACAGTTAACATGGGGATAACAGACATCATGACACATTTAACATGGGGATAACAGACATCATGACACAGTTAACATGGTCATAACAGACATCATGACACAGTTAAAAAACATCTCATACCCCACCTCAAACAAGCCAGGGACCAAGGCAAAACAGCATACATCAAAGGCGACTTTCTAGTTATAGATGATGTTAAGTTCCTGCCGGATAGTTCTGGGGCTCTAGTCAAATTCGCCGGAGATATACATGGATCACACTCGCTAGGTCATGCTGACCCAAACCACAGTGTTCTGTAGCAGGTTGGCCTTGACCCTGTGACTGATATCGACATTGACATTGACACCCGATCAGAAAGCTCGTGCTCCACGGGTATTCCGGATGCATCACATTCTCTACAACCAATAAGCCTATTGTGTTGGAATGTAAACGGCCTATATAGTAAAGTAATCCATCCAGACTT